ATAGGTCAGCTTCAAAATACTAAAACAAAAATTTAATTGATAATAATAAGTTTTATTATTCATGATTCAAGTTTCAAACTTTATCAACTAGTTTTTTCTCAAGAATTGGTCGAGCATTAGCTTTTTGAAAATTCCAAATTTTATTATTGCATATTATTATTATACCAACACTTAAAAATATTGACTGAGGTTGTGTAATTATAATAGGAGCATAGTTGTTTGTTATACGATTATTTATAATAACATCTATGTGAAAATTCAATCGGTCATATGAAAACAAAAAATTTTTTTATTACTAGTATACTTTTGTCAACTTTAAAATCTCCAGATCAAGTTAGGTCAAATATTTTGAAGGGTAGTTGGTTCCTTATAATAAATTTGCATCACAATGAATTTTTTAAAATATTAATATAAATTCATTGAAATGTAATTAGTAATTTGGTATAACGAATTTTAGATGATAGATTCATTGAAACGAGATTTGACTGTAATTAATGTAAATAGGTATCTGAAAACTTTTGTTTAGAAGGTATAATAAAAATACAAATAACTTTTTGGTGAAATGGTTAATATTATTATTTATCAATTTATCATTGATTTTATTTTTAATAAATGTAGAGTAAATTCAGCGGCAAAGTTATATTCTTCTAAGATAGTACTGTTACTAGGCGACGAAAAACAATTGAACATTTAAAATTATCATATTATCATATATTGTTTATTATTCATTTATTGTTTATGAAAGTCATGAACGCGTGATTATATAGATAGATGCCAGAAAATTTCTGCTTGCACAAAGGAAAATTCAAAGGAAAACTTTGACGAAAAGAAAAATATTACTGAAATATTTCTATGGATGACGAGCAGGAAATTTTGATGGAAAAAGAATTTTTAGATTTTTACCTGAAGAGATTTTCATAAAAAGAGAATACTAATTAACCGACATGTATATACTGTATGTATAGGCGATTTGTTTTCATGTATTTTGGAAAAATAACCATGGGAAATAACTCTTTTGAGAATATTTCCAGAGTTTCGACTCGAACTTCAATCACAAAACCAAAAGTATTAACTTGTATAAAAAAATGGTACTACTATTTTACGTTACGAAACAAATCTCAAAGAACTCTTGGGGATGTGAACTTTTCCATATATAAAAATTTATTATTAATATTAACATTTGTTGTAAAAGAATAATATTCTTTACATGACGTTTTATTGAAAATTTATTCAAATCAGTTTTTAAAAATATTTCTTCTTGAATTTTATTCTCTCAAATAATATTTTTAATTAATTATCTTCTCTAAATTTTATAATAACTATTTTCCATGGCCTGACAAAAAATTAAAAAAAAAAAAATCTTTAAATCATTTCCAAAGCTTGATTTCTTATTGTAAACACGCTTTAATAATTTAGCTCATATAATAATTGAATATTAATTATAATTTATTAACTAGACTTCCAAAAAGAAAACAAAAACTTACAGCAATGAAAAAAAACTATCAACTATCAACTATAACAATATTTTTCGTCATAGATGGTAAAATTCTCAGACCTATGAATTTCTGGATTAGTGCTCAAGATCTTGGCGAAAGATTCATGTGGATGAAATAATTCTAAAAGTTGCAAGAATCCATGAAAAGCAGATAGTGCACCTTTATGAAATTTACCTTTGTTAAGAGTAAATCTTGAGTAAATGTGGATTTTTAATACAGATGAAACTGGCCTTATTTTATTGTATATTTCCAAATCAAGCTCTTTTATTCCAGGAAAAACAAAGGACTGCTTATTCAAAATTAATTTAAAGAGAGGTTAACCAATGCAACTGGTACAAGAAAACTTAAACCAATTGTAATCAAACCAAGATGTTTCAAAATATAAATATGTCTTTGTCACCGTAATTTAGAAGTTTACCTAAAAGCATGAGTGTGCAATGATATTTTAAACATTGGTTAAGAAATTGTTGGGAATTTATTATTCTAAAAAAATCCTTCAAAAATTTTTTTAAATTTCTATAATCACTTTCGTCAAACTCTAAACCATTTTTATGCTTAAAGCATTTAATTGATATATCCATTGCTTTCAAAAAATTATATCAGTTTATTCATCATTTACTCATCTAAGACCATTTAAACTATTTCATCATCATCTAAACGTTCTTTTGTCAAACTCAATTCATTATCATTAATATATTCAAAATTTCTAAATCACCATTAAGATTCGATTTCAATTATTTGATCAGTGCCAATTTGCTTTGATTGTAATTGTTTCTTCATTGGTTGGTAATTGATAAAATTCCTATTTATTTATTTAAAAAAATTTTTTAATCGCCAATTTTTTCAAAATTTTATAACAAGAGGAACCTTATATATATAGTCACGTTTGTTTATATAATATTAATATGGGAGTCTAATTGTGTATTTAATGAAAAAATTAACTTTATCACAAAAGATTTTTTTTTACCTTTAAGATTTATAACTTTTGTCATTTGATTCATGAAAATAAAATAATAATTACATAATGATCTCAAATTTTTATTATAGGACTCAAATTGGAGATTTGGACTTGCAACAAATTGGCCAGTTATTCTAGAATTGAAGACTAGAGTTACACTTCCTTAACACGAATCAGATTATCAGAAAATGATAAAGATGGGAGCCGAAATTAGTTGCAATTAATTGAGGATCCATCTTTAGAATGGGATTCTGGTACCTTATTCATTTGGCGGATTGATTGAATCCTATTACAATATCCCAAGAGCTTATAAGAACAAACAGTTATTCAAAAGATAAAAATCGATAATGTTATTATTATTAACACAAAGAATATTTAATATATATATATATATATATTTATTTATTTATTTATTTAACGAAATCGTGGGAAAGAAGGGAAAAAAAGTTTTGTTCATACAAGCAAAAAAACATTTAAACATTTAAAACATTTAATAACCATTTTATTTATTATTATTGTGTGTTTAAGTTTTTCATGTGGTTTTTTTATTTGGGTTTCACAAAATTGTGCTATTTTTATTTTTTATTCTACCACTAACAAATGAATTGTGGCAGTGTAACGTTAAATTTTAATATTTAGGACATTTGGCGACAAAGTCGCCCGGCAGAGAAGCAATCCAATATCTAAAAAAAAAATTTTTTTAAAATTCTTCAATAACAAGTTAACTAATTAGCTTGTTAAAACCCATTTAATATCACTAAAAAAACAAATTTATTGGTTTATTTATATGTATCATCACATTTATTATATTTTTATATAAAAGAAAAATAGTAATAATAATAATATATATATATACCTGTATAGAATGGTCTTGGACAAATAACATCTTTGTATTCATTTTTCACAAATGGGCGAATATTATCATAAAGGTATTCTTGCCTTTTGTAATCCAAAGGAGGTGGAGTTAACACTAAAATAGATAAAATTCTAATTTCTTCAAAAATATCCGCTTTCTTGGTTTTCAGCAAATTGAATTCAGAAAAAGGTCCTTGAACTTTCACTGTACCAAGATCAGACAGATGCTTCAAAAAAAAAAAATGTTGATACTTTTGCAAACCATTTAGTTCCTTAAAATAAATTCCCAAAATAACTTTAATATCTAAGTATTGAAAACCTTTTCCTACCTTGTAGCATTGAGTTTTATTCAATCCAGCTGGACTAGACCTTTTCACTACTTCAACTACATGGTCCAGACAATCTACTCTTGACTTTCTATAAAGTTTTTTAATCATGTCAAAACTACCATCACATTTGAATTTAGTATGTCCAGGAATCATGAAATTCAATTCAATACTTTCATAATAACCACAAATTACTAAATACAAGTAAGCCAAATAGTGGTGTTATTTTTATTCTGTCCCTCAGCATTATCACAAGTAATCTTTAAATGCTTTTCACCTTTATTCAATTTTTTAATTCCATCAAAAATCATGCTAAGAGTACCATTTGGGACCTTTTCCTATAATTTCATTTTCATTAAGAACATAATTAATTTGTTCTCTTACTGCTTCATCTTGAATAATAAAATAATATCACCAAGTTAATAAATTGTTTGACTACTTATTTTGATTTGGAATACTTGAAGGCAAAATATTTCATTACACTTACTGAAAATATGTCTCTGAATAAGATTAAAATTATTTAATTCAAATAAAATGTTTGCATATATGTAGTCTTTATTTTGAAATTTAGTTCTCATCTAACTTTTGATCTAGAGATCTTATTTAACCTGCTAGTAAAGACAAACATAAAGAATGTTTCTGCACAAAAAAATTAATGTGTACCTTAATAATAATTTTTTGTATACATATATTCCTTTTTATATTTTAAAACAATTGAAATCACATGTTTTACAACATAAAAAAGATCAACAATTGATTTTATCACAAAGTGATAAAACGAGTGTCCATCATGCTTTTGGAAATTATTGTGAATTATTTATTAAAAAAAAAAAATCATAATATTAACATATAAAAAATGTGAAACTTAATTTAAAAATCATGATAATATTAACAACTAACTAATAATATTAACATATATAAAAAATGTAAAACTTAGTTTAAAAATCCTAGACCTTGATATTTTTTTATCAATTTGTCAAGTCCACAAGATCTGAGTACATTTTAAATTTCATTGTAAAAGGTTTGGACCCTCACCAATTCTTCATTAGATTATTGAAAGAATTGTCACTGATATTAGTGACCTTATGTTCAATAATTGTTGATTTTAAATTCTCTGGTAGTGTTTGATTTAAAACTGTTAAAATTCCATCACCATCTAATTGATTCATATAAAGAGATTTTCTAAATATAATCCTTTT